CACAATAATGCCACGTAAATCAATAATTTGAAGTTGTGATTTTGGATGTTTCATTAAAGGACGTATTATCGCATAGCAACCACTTGATTCAAGTGGATTTCCATGTAATGTTATGATTTTTAATGTTTCATTTTTCGCTAAACCTTTTCCAATATATGTAGCACATTCTGTATTAAATTGATTATTATCCAAATGAAGTTTTTCTAAAGTTGTATTTTTTTTTAATAATTCAAAAATAGCTTTTGCTGCCAATAGACCAGCTCCATTCCATGATAAATCAAGAATTGTTAAACGTGCATTTGTTACAAGTGGTTTTATAAAATAACCACATGCTTTTGCACGTAAACGATTCCAACCAAAATGAAATTCTTCAATAGTTTGATTTTCAGCTAAAGATTGTCCAAAAAGACGACCGGATGTTTCATTTTCAAATAAATTTTTATTTAAATTTATATAAGTAATATATTCATTTTGTGACAATACTTCAGCAAAATATGGTGTACAATCATCATTAAAACGATTACCCTCAAGATGTAGGATACGTATTGTTCGATTTGAACGAAGTACTCGTGATAGAGCTTTACAACCTATGAAAAAAAGAAAACGAACAAAAAAATTAGAAAGATTTTCATTATTTAATAATTAATTATTTGTCTGTAAGCTGAATTTGAAATTGCAAACTATAAAATGAAAAAATCAATGATTAATTAACAAAAACAGCACTATATATGATACTAAATTGTAGAAACATATTCCAAAACTCTGTAATATCTGCGAGTATTAAAATGTGATCAAATATGATTTCTTCTTAAAAATCGACGAGCACATATAAACTTCCACTAAATAAAGAGCATTCTACTGGTTGATTCCAAAAACTTTTATACAAAATCATAATCCAAAATTTGCCTTGAATAATTTCTAATAACAACATATTCTTTTCAACAAAGCATATTAATTAATGCTGCTGTATTGAGCTCAAACCTTAATATAAAAACTCTGTATAAGGCTAACATTCTGTCCAGAACTACTCATAGTATTAATTATAGAGATGATATTTGATTATGGAATTTGCCACAAGGCAATACCTCACATCACAAAGTAGTTGCTAGGCACTTGTATTCTTCTTTCTTCCGTATTTACCATAGACAAAAAAGAAATACTTTCATAGTAATTTCAATTGTATTCTAATTGAAAACATTTCCACTAACGAGTAAAAGAACTTTCAACAATTCTATCGTCATATATAATAACTTCCCGTTATTTTTGTAAAAAATATTTATTCATTGTAGAAATCTATTTTTATTTTCATATAATCAGTATTGAATTCAAAGAATAATACAAATAATGAAAGAGTTCGAATTTAAATTTAATCGAAAATGTTTATTTCTTAGAAACAAAATTCTACATAATAAATAATTACTTTTTATTCAATAATAATAGGGTTTTTTTTTGTCTTCTGAAAAAACATTATACATTCGATTACATTTATAGTTCGATTTATTTAATTGTAAGAAATCGTAAACATTATAAAAAATAATTATAACTCTTTTGTTCATCTTAATAATTGTTTTCTAAAGCTGTAAAATATATTATAAAAAAATTCTATTTCTCATTTTTTTTTTTTCAACAATTACAATTATTTCAAATTAGACTATTTCTTTGAAAATATTCATACCTTGTAAACCAATATCATTATTCGAAAGATCTAATTCAGCAATATATTCATTATCTTTCATTAATTGTGATATATAAACGGCACCACGTGATCCTAAACCATTATCTCTTAAATCAAGTTTTGTTACTTTTGTATTAATTTTTAATGATGGTACCATAACTTTAATATTAATAGGTTTTAAACCACAATAACGTATCGTTAATGTTTCATTATTAATATGACGTAAAAAATGTGTTGATGGTATAACACCATGACGACGACATTGATCTAAATACAGACCTTTGCATGTATAATCTTTTGTTGGTTCTTGTTCTTGTTCAATATCTGTATCATAACTAATATCACTTTGTGTAATTGATATTTTTCGTGTTAAATAATAATCATCATTATTAATTTCAGCATTTTCATCTACAATATCATGATCCGTTTCTTGAATATTCGATATACTTGCATTTGAATCTGAACGTTCACGTATACCAGGTATTCCAGCTGAACGTGTTGCACTACGATTAAGTCGTTTTGGTTTCGTATCAGCAGATAAAATTAAACGAGTTTGATTATCAAGTAGTTCAGGTCGATCGAATAAATAATGTGTTGTTGATGACGACGATGTCATGTTTTTTATTGCTTTGTTAAACGATCGACACTTTTAACAACAAACTTTTTCTCTTTCTCGTTTACTGTCCTTATGCATACAGACATATATATATATATATAAATTTGAAGAAGAAGAAAAAAAATGAAGAAAAACGGATATGAAATTTTGTTCACGAAGAAGCAGTACGGTAGAAGTAAAAAGAAGAAAAAGAGAAGCTGAAAGAGACAAGTGAATAAAGTGAAATGTAAGGCTATTCAAAGAACAAAACAACATACACAAATGAAATCAAATCAATTCTACGTGGGTGTGTGTGTGTCAACCTGAGAATAAATAACATACATTTGTAAAGAACAAAGCGAAAAAATAACATGCAAACGATTGTCTTTAAGCAAACAAATAAATTAGAAAAAGAAAACATAATGTAATAGATTAATCGGTATTGTCAAGTAAATCAATTTAATTTTGAAAATGATTCTATTTTTAAATTAGCAATTATAAATCATTTTTAATGTAAATCTTTTAATAGAAATAAAAGAAAACTTTTTATTTATAATTTTTCAAAATATTTTATATTATTTGATTACGAAAGAGTTGAAGATCTCTTTGTTCGATTGAAATAAAAAATGTTCATTCATTCTATATATATATACGTATTTTATAGAGTTCATCATACTGATTACAGATGAAGAACTGAAGTCAAACTTGACTGCATTATTTATATCAAGTCGAGTGAAAAAAAAATGTATTTTATGCATTTCAATTTTGGTGTCTAAATTGAAATGTAGTGGAAAAATAGCAATTAAGAACAGCAAGTGTGTACTGAAGTTGAAATAAAATGAAGGATTTTGACATACTCAAAGAAAACAAATCTTTTTCAATTTTTATTGGTCATCGAACTTCGTAATAATCTGTTTTTCGAAAATATCTTCACTTTTTTCGTATTATAATAATTAAATTAATAAAATATCAAACTATTGAAGATGGTCAAGACAAATTATTATTGTATACAAAAATCACTCACTTGCTCATCTCTAATGTTTGTAATAATTAGCAAATATCAAAAGAAAATGTATATTGAAATAGTTAAGCATTTTCAATAGAGTTTTTTATTATTAAAACAAATTGAAATTTCATAAATTTGATATTCAAACATGTATAAAAGTTATCAAGTAAATGATAAATAATATACAAAGTATTATAAAATTCAATATTCAAAAATTTCATAGTTTTGAATGAATAGAAAAACTTCGAGAGAAAAAACCTTTCAAAGCGAAATCAAAATTTCATTTGATGTACTCTCAAAGGGTATAGATTTGAGTATAATGCTGATAATCTTCTATGTTGGCGACCTCTTGTTATTAATTCGATTTTTTTTTGGAATTTTTGCTTTCTGCATTTTCCCCATCATATCAATTGTTAGATGTTTGTTGGAATAAACTATAATAATCATACATTTGAAACCTTTCACAATAAGACTATTAGCATACATGCATTTCTCAAAGGAACCATTGAAAACGATAGAATTTTTAAAAGTTGTATTTAGTTATAATCTGTTTTTTTGAAAACGAAGATTTATTGAGAATTTCTGTAGAATTTCAAGGGGAGTCTTTCATTAAGAAAATATTGCTTTACAAACAATAAATATTTTATGATACAACTAATAAAAAAGGAAAATATGTTATAATTGGTAGTTTGTGTGTTGGTAAACATAAATGTACTGGATAGATTGTTTCTATGCGCACATTAATTTGCTGTAGCATACTTCATGCATTCTTGTCTAGGATTTTAATTCTACAATGCTTCTGCGTGGTACATTTTTTTAATATTATTATTTCAAATGTTGATATATAAGGAGTGATTTTAAAATCAGGAAATCTTCAGGTATACAATTTTACAAAATCAATAGTTTTTCAATGTTAAGACAAAAAAACAAAACAAATGCGTATAATCCGGAACCTTTATTTCATATTTAAATTGCTTTGATTATTTTGAATATTCAAACTTATGACGCATAAACATTTACTCTTTAATGTTCACTAATGAATTGTTAGTGAAAAAAAAAACCTTGTATAATTAGGTTACTCAAGTGAATAGATTTGTAAAACATTGAAGTTCATTTAACAATAATAATAAATAGCATATATAGATATTCTATTTTAGTATTAAGAATGTTTTTCTTCGCATTTATATTATATATTTCTGATTGGATAGACTGATCAAAAGAGACTAACAATCCTTCGAAGCTTGTTTTTTTTTCCTCAGAATACCACAGAACAGAGAGAAAAAACGTCATATTATGATATATCTTCTTTTTTTTTTCATGACGACTATTTGCTTTCGCACTCATGAAATAATATAGTGCATGTCGATATGCCGTTGATAAAATATTCAACGGACTTTGCAAAACAAAAAATTTTCATATTATGATCTTGCTAAATTTAATAACAAACAATTTGAATGAAGTATATATTTATAATTATGTTGTAGGTTTTTTTTTTTTTTTTTTTATTTACAATATGTATATATATTGTATTTAAAAATATTAAATGATTTTTGATAATTCACTATTATTTAATATATCAAAAGAAAATATTTGTAATGAATATATAGATAAAAATCACATTGAAAAACAAAGATTAATAATCCTTTTGTTTTTTGTTTTTTTATTATTTTGTTTTACTAGAAAATAACAGTGAAAATACATCAAAACAAAAAATTTTCATTGTTTCATGTTCTAAGTGCTGATGATGTAGCTACTGTATGTAATTCGTACTTGATTTTATTTGAAGTTGGTGGTTGTTGTAATCGTTTAATAATAAATTTTAGTGGTGCTTTTTTAATAATTGTAGTTACTCGTGATGTTGAACAAGAAGAAATAATAGGCGAAGAAGATACTGTTGATGATAATGAAATAATATCAGATAATGGTAGAGGATCTTGAATAGAATCTGTTAATATATCAAAATTTTGAATATCATCAAATGATTTTGCTTTATCATCAAGTTCTTCTTCATCATCTGTATCCCATAGATTATCATCATCATCGTTAAATGTTGACTAAAACGGAAAAATTACAATACATTTCTTTTGTCGTTAAACAAGTCCAAAAAAAAGACAGAAAACATTTATTTTATTCAAACAAATATAATATAATTTTTCAGATTGAATATAATTTTCTAGTTATTTAACAGAACAGTAAAAGAAAAACGAGTATTTTGTAAATATATGTGTCCTAATGTTCGAAAAAAAATTATGTTGAAATATTCATAGTAAATTCGATAAATATGCTTTTTTTCTTAATTTAAAACAAAAAGAATATCCTATTTGTTGTTTTGTAAAACTTATCAATTCAATATTGTTTTTATTTCTCAATGAATTTCGAATGCAATGTAATAAGTTGAAAGAATGACGTTTAGACTCTTTTTCTTTTATATATTCAAGATAAATTTTTTTTGTTTAGTAATATACTTTTTTTTTTTTCTTACCTTTGCTGCTTCAACATAACGTCTTTTAATAACATGTATATCCATAGTTGTATTATCAGGATAAATGTCAATAAGTAATCGTTTAAGTTCATCTAAACCTCTTTCAATATCATCTAATTTGTTTTTCATTTCATTTAAATCATCAACATTTATTTGTTGTTGTTTAAATACTTTTTTTAATTGTTTTATTAAATTATTTTTTAATTGTTTATCTTTTTTTGTTTTATATGTATCAAATTCTATATGTGCTTGTATACATAATATTTGTAATTGTTGTTTTTTTTCTCCATAAATTTTATTTATAGAATTAATTCGTTCTTGATACCAATCATCTAATTTTTGAAATAATTGTTGACGATGATTTGTTGAATCAAATATTAAATTATCAAGATCTAAACGGACACGACTTATATTATCAGATAATAAATATAAATCTTGACGAAGTAAATCTTGATGATAATTTAAGTGTTTAAGACATAACTGTAATTGACAATGTGGACAAAGTATATAATCATTTGATGTACATTGAATACCATCAATATCTGAATGTTGACAAAGATTTCGAGCTGAAGCCATTATATTAATAATAATGATCGTAATCACTAAGAAGAATAAGGAATTGTCATTGAATATGAAACAAAGTTAGACTAACGCAAGGGAAGTGTAATGCAAAAGGATGAAAAGAGAATGAAGAATGAAAGAACGAAAGAGAGAAAAGAAAAGAAAAGAAAGACGAGAGAACACAGCAAAAGAAACCAAGGGACATTCTAAAGCGTCAAATGGATAGAATAAAAATTTCTCTCGTAAATATTACATATTTAGACGAAATCATAATTAATCGATAGCAAAAAAAGGTATTTGAATATTATATAGAAATATCTCGGTTTTCTCAAAAGTTCTTTCTTATTGCAATAAATTATGTTATTCTAATCAGATAAACTTGATGATTAGTTATTAAACAATCATTTGTTATAATCGCGATTCGTACGATGCAATGCCAACGATTAATAGTTATGATATTTATAGTCATCTATGAGAATGAATTTTGTTGTTAAATACATTTTAAAACTGCTGTTTGGAGATTAATTGCATGTGTAGATGGCGCAGGAAGTCTAGAACGGATGACTTGATTTGGAGAAAGTAAATCACAGGATATGAGCTTGACATTTTGGTCAAATGTATTGTACTCTTTTACAACTATATATATATAATCAATGAATATTTCATAATTAAAAGTCAGTCATTCATAATATGCATAAACTTTTATTGAATCATTAGCAGAGAAGAATATTTATGTTCTTTCGTTAGAAAAGAAAATTTCTTGTCCTATAAATGATATTAATAAATGTAACAAAATTATTTATTTGATATACACCTTTTTTTTCCTTGAAACATGAATCGTCTCATGATTTATTTAACAAATGCTATAATAGATTTCTTCTAAATTAATATTTTTCATTTTTATTTGTATGACTAACTACGTAAAAATTCAACTCAAGAGTATTAATAAGATTAATAGTAACTTTCTATCGAATCTAAAATATTTTTCTATGTTGCTGAATACGATAAAATCATATGTCCATTTTTTTATCAAACATGAACATCTGATCAAAATATAGATTTATTAATAATAGAAACAATTAAGTGCATGAAGAAAGTTAGTAAAAATATAACATTATCCCATGAATCGCGTCTTAGAAAAAACAACAACAACAACCAACGTTTCTTTTCTTTCTACAACACACGTGTATCTGCAATCGACAGTATAAAGGGAAAAAAATAGACTCGTGTTATTGAATAAAACATGCGTTATGAGAGCGTTAAAAATAAAATACCTTATTCATGCAAGTCTTCGTAGACAACTATATGATGATATTTTGTTTTCAAATAACTTTTGAAGAAATCTTCTGGGTGGTGATGGAGGGGTTCGGAATGACTAACTTTTAGTCTTGGAGATTTTTGTTTTTCCAGTAAAACTCCAACGTTTTGTTGCTTACTACTGCCTCCCAAAACAAAAAACTCAATCAATTTGAGCAAAAATTTTCTAATTGACCTCATGAATTATCAAACCGTTCACTCCCACGATACAACTCTAACTTTTAAGATTTAACATAAAATCACAGCAAAGAAAAAAAGCATCAATGACTCTCTACCACTCCCCATCCCCTGAAATTGTATCGTTCCGTCCTTGTAACATAGATCTATATGTTGAAAATGATGCGTTCTCGTTCTGCTTATGATACTATTGAAGACGAGAAAAAATAGTACCCAAAAATAACTGACGTTATATTTTCTTTTATGCATCAATAATAACCAATAAACATACTGTTTTTTTTCTCATCATATGTTTATTTTGAAAGAAAATATATGCTTAACAGATAAAGCTTTGAAAAAGAAGAAAAACAATAGTTTGAAACAGGAATAGCTTAATATGATAAAATGATTGCATGTCTGATAATCAGAACTAACTAACGTTTATTTTTATGTTAATTTACTATTCATGAAAAACAAAATAAGATTTATGTTATGGAACAATATCGTTAGAATTATATCTTTTTTTTTTTGTTAATTAAGTATAGAATAATTTTTTAAATTTATAATCGTACAATATTTTAACAGAATTTATGTTGAGTATAAATGAAAATTTACTACTGATTCCTTGAATAATATTAATTTAATAGAAAATCATTTCAACAACAACTATTAATGAATTTAATATTCGACATTGACATATGATAGTTGATTGCATTTTTCATTAGCTTATATAACGGCTACAACAAATATGTTATCATTCATTCTTATTTTTCGACAACGACGGTATAATTAGTCTCTTGTGCATTCACAGAAGTAACAAAGAAATGTTCCATACTTTTCATCTTTATCGAATTTATTTAAGCATGAAGTTTTCTTTCTATAATTAATCTAATGTTCAGCTTTTCTCTTTATTCTTGTCAAGTACATGATATTTTCAACTTGTCGTGTTTATATATAGAAAAAAGAATAATTGTGCTTTTTCAAAAAACTCTTTCTCATGAGGGAAATCCCTGGAACTTCCAATCGCTTTTGAGTTACAATTGCGTGTATTATATAGGATTCTATCGAGCTAGGAATACACTGCGGAGAGTTCGAGCTCTTAAATAGATTGCTGCCAATTTATTACATTTTTACGGCGCTCTTGAGGAATAGGCCATGGATCCTTTTGAAAACATTAAGAAGACTGAGTATTGAATTTCAAGTTGAAATTTTCGATAGATATAGACGTCAGTAGAATTAGTTTGTTGTGAAAAATATAGGTCATATAGTTGTTTCTATCCTAAGATATGAATATGTGAAAAGCATGTTTTTTATCAATAGATTTCGATAGTCTTGTGTTAGTAGAGAACCAATCAAAAGATCAGAAATTTTTACAATAAGATGTTCCTCTTGGGATCTATCTCTAAGCAAAATTTCAATTCAGAATTTAGTTTTTTGCTGGTGCTTTTGAGATGAGCGATGCCGTTTTGCTAAAAAATATCCAGGAAGCAAATTGGTCTTGTATTTCGACTGATTCTCCTATCGGTTCGGTATCATATGATTTTTACTGATTAAGCCAAAATATACACAAAATGTAACTAAACTTTGACATATCGTGTGTATGACATCAGCATTTATTTAAAACAAGTATTTATTTATGTTAGTTCACTGGTATGATGAGACACTAGTAAAATGATTGAAACTATGAATGAAATTTAAATTACTAACAAGGAAATGTTTCTAAATGTCAAATCACTTTTGAGTCGAGACTGTGCGCATCATATTAGTTCTAATGAGCTATGAATACCATGAAAACATTTCTGGCTAATAGCTTATTATTACCAATATATGATATTTTTTATTAGAATATCGTGGTCCCCCTAAACTTTGATGACGTGTAACTAGAAGCATTTGCATCAATAGCCTAAATGATAATATTCAGAATGACTGTTTATTTTGATATGAGCAATAATGTGATCGCTCTGCTTTACCGACTATCAGTTCTACACAGCTGTGGCTATGCGTAGAGAAAAGTATCAAACGACCAAGTCATGTATATTGAAGATTTCATGAAAAATGAATATTTAAAATAATGCAATATGTTTCTCATTTTTCGAAGAAAATCTTATATTTTCAAAGATTCGCGATCAGACGCCAAGAAAGAAAACATAAAATCTCGTCAGCAATAAGCTAAATACCTGAATTCTTTATATGACGTTCATAGTTTATTAGAGGCTACATGTTGGACATAGTCTCGACTCGAAATTTATTGTATACTCCATAAGCGTCCATTGTCAGTCAAGATAATCGATTGAAAGATAACACAAACAGATTCTCTTTAAAAATATAAAGCTACAACCTATTTTTCATTTTGCTAGAAAATACTCAACGTGTAAAGCTCAAGGTAATTTTCTAGAAAAGCCTATCCTATATAATTTATAGTTCTATAATTAGAAAAATGAACTCAAAAGTATCCTAGTGAATTTTCATCATGTTTAGTAGAAAATAGTCCTTCATATTTTTCTCCAGTATGATCAAAAAATAACAGAAATCAATAAAATTCTGACATGTTACTAATAAAAATACTGATTAGTCATTCAATCTTTCAAAGTCTTTTGTTTATCATAAAATATAGATTTAGTATTAATTTTGTTTTTTAACTCTTTCATTGGCGGACTATTATTTTTATTTACAAACACATATTTATTGCAAATTGAAAATACTATAAATGTATACTTGCCAAAACGTTATTAATATTAATTGAAATACCTTCTTTTCAAATAATGTGCAAAGATTTCAAAAATGAAAGCTTTGAAACAATTGAACATTAATCATACACATAATGGTTAAAAAATCGAAAAACGCTCAAAATTGAAAGTCTAATCCCTTGTAACTAGACGAATACTACCTTATATTTTCAGCTCTCTAGTCCTTATTATAGGAGAGATGCATAGGTTCGAATGATAGAGAAGATTTTTTTCCATGTTTCAAAAACCGTCAAAAAATTTTATTCGAAAGAACTGTCTAGAATAATTCATTTTCACTATTAATATAATCACAAACAACAGAATATTTCACATTTTCATAAATCACTAATGTCGGATTTTTTTTAAAGTGTTAACGACCATTTTCTGAATAACTTTTGATTACTTTGAGTTATCGAGCTGCGGTTTTCACCATTCAAAAGAGCAAGCCGGGGGCTACAAAATCCTACTGATTTTGAATGGTCAAGCAATTGACCAACCAGGAGAACTTTTNCCTACTACTCTTTGCTGAGTGTCCTTGTCTTACGAAACACTTCTTCTTGTTATCTTTCCATTTGGTGTAGTGTATATCTCTTATTATTTTTTACTATTTATTGGTAGGTTTATTTAAACATTTACTCATTGTACTGTAAGGGCCTAAAGGTCGTCAGTTATTGCAAAATAAAAAAAAATAAAAAAATAAAATAAACATGACTCATTTTATTGTAAATCTAGTCATTCTTTTTTCACATAAAATGACATAAATAGTTCAAATGTATTGTACAGCACGATCTAAAAGGAGTGTTGAAGTGTAGAGAAGTAGAAATTTAGATCTCCATAGACGAAAGAAATATTTTGGTAGCGAGCCATCAGTGAACGTGTATCAATAATGTCTCATTATAATTTATGGATCACTTCCTTATTGCAATTCTGAAGAGAATGATAAAGAAATTTGTTCCAAAATACATACGATAAAAAAATCTCTCTATAATTAACAACAGCAGCGACATAGTGTTTCACATTTTGAATCCTGCAGGGATTATGCTAACAGCTGTTACTTGACTTCGACGCAATTTCTCTTCTACTATCTCCCGCCTGGTGGTTTCTATTATTTTATCATGTCATCAAGATTATAAATGCCTCGAACGACTAATGCAGTGTTTTATTTAGGTTGTCTCTTCCAGGAGAGCGAACATCTATATTTGAGAGTGCAGACACATAGTAAGTCTAATAATATATGATATTTTAATGAAGAAGTCATGAAATTTGATAAGTCAACTTTTCTTGATATTTTCAGAGAATCGAAATGAAAAGATCAGATTTGATGCACTGAAGAACTATTTCTCAAGATTGCATTGTACTAAATTTATAAAATGAAATCAATAGTAGTTTCAACAAACGGCAGAAAAAGTGGACACGGGTATCTTGTATATTTCCATCATACCCGAGATACTGGGATTTCATAACCCGGATACAGAAAAAATCAATATCTGTTTTTTTCCTTGAATTTGAACTTGCTGAAGTAGTATCTATGTCGGCAATTTTTCATAAAAACCGACGATTTGAACGGTTTTTTTTATCAAGTTTCTTATAATTTATCCATTAAATTAATATTTTCAGTCTTGAAAAGATAAATTTCAACGCAAAAAGAAATGCGATTGTAATATGCCACTGTATATTATGTTAGATAGTGGCATCTTTAATAAATAATCAAACTCAAAAACCAAGCGACAACAGCCGATGTGGCTGGTACCGACGGCTTGATGACGCTCATAGGAAGAAAGAAGGGGAAGTGATTTTGACTGAAATCGAACATCATTCTACGAGCTAAAAAAATATTCATGAATTGAGACAGAAAAAACCAATTAAACAAAATAACTGTGGTTAACCGGTGGTTTTCGTGCGGTTTGAGCAATATTGGTAAAACTTCCTTTCAATATATAAGTCGACTAATGCCATCTATGATTACTTTTCCTGAAACAAATCTTAAAAAAAATATATATATATGACATAAGTCTAAAGATATATCTTTTATTTTAAATTCTATTCTTCTAACTATAAATTTTCCTATCAGAAATAATTATATTTATGAAGAAAGAAATTTCCAACCAATTACTAGTCAAATTATGAATCATACCGTCAAAGTCGGATTTTTAGATAAATACATGATTGGTTATGTTCTGTTCCAGGGTAGTTTATTACGCTCCATGTACTAACGTTATTATTATGTTTCCTTGACAGATCAAAATAAAAAAACAACAACATATTGAAGATATAAGTCTTATGCCTTTATGTGATTGAATAAAATCGACTATTTATTTTTTTATGCTTTGTCATTATTTCAAAACAGAAAAAAAAAGAACATATTTAGATAAAGAAATAGATTATGTCTAGTAATAAATTAGTTAACCAATCCTTTTCATTAAATACTCATTAGATAAATTAAATAATAATTGATTGTTAATGAACTTCTATTGTTTGAAATGTCAATGATAGTTTATAGGTCAGAAATATTTTTCTAAAAACTATTGTTTTTCTAGATAGGTAAAACAACATGAGCCTTGGTGGTGGCGATTTACAAGTCATTTTAAGACGCATACGTCATGGTAAATCATCAATAATTTTTTAAAATTTTTCTTTAATTTGTATTATTATTATTATTATTATAAGGTTTCATTATCTGTGATGATTCAGAATTATGCGACAAAATTATAAGTCAAGATGTTGAAAATGAGCAAAGACGAAGAAAACTAGCCAAATCGTTCGTTATAAAACAAAATAATTTTTATCTTTTACTTTATAATCTAAATAGGAAGTCAATTAATCTCGAAAGAAGTGATTTATTGAATTTACTTCGAACGGAATCAGATTTTATCGTTGATGAATTATCTCATTCACCTGAATGGACAGCAACTAATGTTCAAGGTATGTTTTGTAAGATCTTTGCTTAGTTCCTTTTACTTAATAAATCTGAGATCATCATAATCAGTTCTGATCTTATTGATCAGACAATCTATTTGAAGATTATACAAATGAATATATTTGTCATCGTAAGCTCTTTTAATCCTTATTCTCTGCTGCTCAAATGATATTTAACAAAAAAAAAAATCACAAATGCTTCATTATTTGAATTATTAAAATTATTGTCAATGTTGCTTACTAAAAACTTTCACAATTAGCAATGGATATAGGAAAATTTATCAATGCACCAACAAATAAAAATACTTATGTGACTTTCTTGGTCTATAATACTTGTACATACATATATATAATCTTCTTTTTTGATTGAAAACAATATTTATGATTATGATCAAACAAAGAATTTATAACATTACATATGAAGGAAATATTTAATATAAATAGAATAGTATTCTATTTTTATATAAAATCTAATGAATGAAAAACAGAAGAACAATCAAACTTTTTTGGGTATCCACTATAAATGAAAAATATTAAAGAAATTAAGGAATAGTTTTGAAATACTACACAGTATCTGTGTATTTTCTTGTCACGATACACTTTAAAAATATATTCTCCTGTCACCTATAGTAAATTCACGTTGAAGAATTACTTACTGCTAATTTTTTCGATTACTTATTCTATATAATATTTACTAGAGATATGATGGTGCACTACTGACTGATGAATGTATGATAGAACTATGGTGGTCTTAGATTGATTTTGATTTTTTCGCTCAAGAAGGTCTTCACGAAAATAGTTAAATTTTATAAAAATAGACTAAAGATTTTCAGCGTCCAGGAATCTAAATCTATAGACGATTTGTCGAAGTGCATGTAAGATCACGTTAGTTTTATCATGCACTCATTGTTATTCTATATGATCATGTCTAGACTAGTGCAGCGTTCTATCCGAGACCGATGATCACTGTCACCGTTGCATCTCTAATATTTACTTTACACTAATATACGCTTATTGACAAAGCTAATCAATTGTGATGGTAGCTATTATGTATGTTAGACATAAGCGCAATTAATGAGGGATTGACACCCATTGTTTGAGCTCATATTGAACCCACATGAAGGTCATAGTAAGAATAGCAAAAGACCAAAAGAGTTCGTTGCATCGATCTTTGTTGCTGAGTTATGATCGATTTAATAGGTAGTTCCCAAAAAAAAAATAAATAAAAAAACAGAATTTCAATCTAAACTTTTGTCTATAGGAAGTTCTAATAGCTCTTAGAATATCCAAATATAGCCCGTTGTTACAAAAAATCGAGTTCAGTTGAAAATTCAATAACTTGACGAAGAAATATTGTTTTTGGTTGAAATTTTCAGTCTTCTGCTATTCTTACTGAGACCTGGTTGTAGGTTTCATATGAGCTTAAAAGATGAGTTTCACTTGGGATAGTTCTTTCATAAGATTATTCTGTCCAGTTTAGTAAACCCTTATGCCTAGTTTTCAGGATTTCGAGCTGAAAAGACTCAGGTCGACATTATTTCTGGGCTTTCAAAATTCTCTTCCTGTTTTAGTTTTTCCAAAAACTCTTTTAATTAAAAATTATAAAAATAAATGAAGCACAATAGAAGACCTGGAATCTTCTACTGCGGACAAAAGTTTACGTGTACAGTGATCAAAGGGTCGGAAGACAAACTCTAGATCAGATTAATAATCATTCATGAAGCTTGATAAACATACCAAACTTTTAAAACCCATTTTTAACATTATTTTATATCGATAATAATCGTCAAAATGTAATTTATTCAATGAAAAAAATGTTATCGACATTTTGTAATTATGAAAAATTTTCAAGTCTTCTCTTCTTATGTATATAATTGCATGCAGACCAATGAACAATAAAAGCTTTCTTCTTAAGAATTATTCTTATTACAATAAAATATAATCAATAAAAAAAAAAAACGTTTGATTTCTTTCTTTTTTTTTTGTTTTTTTCTAGTTCGACGAATTCGTTGTGAAACGTTGGGTCGACTTGATGAAATCAAAACTGAAAATGAAGCCAAACGTAAAGTACAGGTTATTTCATGGCAAGATCCACCTCCAGCTCAAATTAATAATAAAAGTAATACCTAAAAAAGAAGAGAATAAACAAAACAAAAATTTATTTCTAATTTAATAGATACAAATGAATTAATTCTTTTTGAAAATGATATTGATGATTCTACATCATCTTTATTTCAACGTCGTACAGAACCAATTTTACCTCTAACACAACCATCCCCTCTTACAGCTCTTATTCAATCAACACCAAGTAAACAAAATCCATTTGCAAATTATGCAAAATTTGATGGAACAGTATGTTATTATTTTTATTTTTTATCTTAATAACTATGACAAAAATGAGTTGTTGTTTTTCTTCTCTTTTTTTCTCATTTAGCCAAATATCAGTTCAAATCAGTCGAAAAAAATTATTGTTGATTTTAAATCTCAAAATCAAATACTCCATGTTATTGTTTCTTCAAATGCTACAGTTACAGAAACAATTGGGTTGGCTTGTTATAAATATACAATGGAAAATCGTGAACCAGTTCTAACGTAAATTACTTCGAAGTTTTTTTGCTCAGTAGAAGAGTTTCAATGAGATCATCGAATACACGAGGCACTCGATTGTGCATTTAATACATTAATGTTTAAAACTCATCAATCCCAAAATTTTTGTTTTCAATATCTTTTCTTTCAAAATTTAGTTAATACCGACCTTTTTTTGACTATCATATCCTAATGAAGAAAACATTTCATGTACGAGTTATGCTCTTTTGTTTCAACGAATCATTCAAATTTTTTTAGAACTTATACATAAAGATAAAGAGTTCAAAAATTAAACAAAATGAACTATGTCAATATAAAATAATGTCGACTGAGTCATGTTTTATAAGCTCAATATGAGTGAAAAATAGTTCTTTTCATAAACCTAAGATATCCACTTTATAGGAAGAAGAAAAAATACCCTAGTGTTTCAGCTACTTTGCAATAGATTCAGTAGCTCGATATTTTCCAAATAACTAATATTAACTGCAACTCTCAGCAGAAGACTAGCCTGACACAGTTCTCGCGCTCCTCATACGCACTAACTAATGACAAGAGCAGATGTCTGTCATAATGTAGTCAGCATGATATCAAACTGGTAATCCGAGACGAACAGATGTGAATGACTTTTCAGGATTATCCGATGGTTGCCATATTCAAAAATACATGTCATATCTGGAACGAAACAGGGTTCGCATCTCTCTTATATAGTGATTTTTCCATAGCAAGAGAACATTTTTAACGATTTTCATTGCCATGAGACGATTGTAAAGCAAAACAAATATGACATTCGGAATCAGAGCGAAAAACTACATTGAATCAAATATATTTTAGAGAATTTTTTTTTTCTATTAAAAAAATCACTATATAGGAAAGATACGTGAATTCCATTTCACCCCGAACATACTATTTTGTAGAGAATAATAGTTTGCATGGCATACTCTCTGATTTCGAATTCCGACTGGAGGTAAATTATTATAAAGTGGACATTTTGAACTAATTAAAAGAACCATTTTCTTAATTCTTTGTCTTTTAGTATAATTTATAAAAAGTTTCAATTAATCATTGAAACGGAAATGAATCACAACTTTTACAGGATACTTTTTTCTCTCATAAGGATCTGATAATGATGAAAAGTCGGTATTGACGAACTTTTGAAAGAGAGGCTATTGGAAGCTAAAATTTTGGGATTGATGATTTTAGATATTGATGTATCGAGTATTTCATGTATTCTATGATCCCGTGATTCTTTTGTTAATGAATTCTGATTTGTTTCTTATAGTCAAAAAGATCCGTCCAAATATTTCCTTTATATTGCTGATGATGATGGTGAAGCTGAAGAAGATTTTCCTCCATTAACAAATGAACAACCAATTGGCCAGTATGATTTTCCTCGTTTAATATTAATTGAACAAGTAACACAAGGAAATATATCAATACCTCTTATCGGACCAGATAGTGATGAAAGTCCCGTTGATTATGATAAATATGACGATGATGAAGATGATGATGATGATGGTTCATTTGATGATTCATCACGTTCAATAACACCACCATCAAGTGAACATCGAAAATCTTCTAGTTCTATTGGAAAAAGTTCAACAAATATTAATATTCAAGATATTCCAAATGAAATTGATCCAATCCATAATTTAAATCGTTTATATGAAAGTCTTAATCAAAGATCATATTTTTTTGATTATTATATTAAATTAGGAAGTAGTAAACATGTTAAACTTCGTATTGATGTATCCGGTGAACAAATACGTTTTGATTTATTAGAAAAAACAACTAGATTACCATGGCAAAGTATGCCATTAACAACACAACATTTAGTTGATTGTAATTTATTGAATAAAGATAAAAATAAAAAACGAGGTAAGGACATTCTACATTCTTGTTTCTATTATTTTCTTAGAAAAAAAAAAAATTAAGAAAGATTCTTTTTCTATATGTTGTAATGTAATATTCCTGATTGAAAAATAAGATCATCAAAATGAACCACAAATCCGATAGAAAGAATTTTGACTGATGACAAGATTTTTCTCGTCTAAGAAACTAGATCTGATTCTTTCTTACCACAAAAAAGGACAAACTTTTGAATAATCTAGCAAAATTATGTGCTTCTGATTCTTATAATTAGTTTGGACCTACTATCATTTTGTTTCACTGTTATCTTATTTTTAGAAATCTAAGCATCGAATAGAATAATAATACAATCATAAAAATACTATAAAACTATCAATAAGAGTCATAATAAAAAAGAACCAAGCATATCCTTATGTCCATTTTGATAAAATGTTCGTTGAGTAGATCATAAAAAAAAAGCATTCTTGCCTAAATTTCATGATGTAATGAAGACAAGAATATTAAACTTGGTGAAAATTTTTATTATATAATATTGTATTTGTATAGATCGTACACGTGTTTATCTTGTATTTCAAAATCAACAAGAATCTGGTGGTTCAAATACATATCAAACACATGAATTAGAATCCACAGTAGAAATAGCTGAACAGTTTCGTGATCAAATTCTCAATATAATTAAATCAAAAAATCCACAAGGTCGTGATATATATGAACAGTATCAACATCAACGTGAGAATACAAAAAAACGACGTTCCATTTTGAATATATTTGGTGGTGGTAATGTTGGCAGTGGGTAATCAACCAAATATTAGATGATGTATTTTTATTTTTATTTTTGTCTCGGTTTCGTTTCTTTTCTTTCTATATGTAACAGTAAATAAAACGAAAACAGTCAATTTTTATCAAGAAAAAAAATTGAATAAAAACTTACTCTTATCGCTTTTTGTTCATGAAAATAGATGCAGATGATCTCCGACTAGTGTCTGTTATAGTCTATATTCTTATAACAGTTTGTGGGAAGGTACACCGAAATTTCTATCTCTATACTTTAAAACTTCTTTTAGATCGTGCCATGCACACATTTATATTGTGTATTCAAGACTTATATATTTTATCGTGCAAAAGTTAATTTAGTCAATGTAACCATTTTGTTGCTCCCTTATCATGAAAAAATAATTTTGCACAGAAAAAAAAATGTCCATCAAATTACATTGAGTTTTGTTCTAAAAAACATTTTAAAAAAAATAGTAAGAGAATAGTTCATGCGTAATTATTAACAGCTATTGGTGATACACAATTTCAAACACAAAAAAAATGAAGTATATTAGTTTTCTTTATTTAATGCTTCAATAAATTCTTCTAATTTTTCTTGAACTTGTCGAACACGTTCTAAAAGCAAAGAAACAATTGTTTTCTTATTTTAAATTAAATAGAACATCTTACTAAGTTCTTCAGCTAAATCAACTCGTTTTCCTTTGAGAAGATTTGCTTTAAGTGTTTCATCACTACTAAAATCATCTAAAATTTCTTTTACTTCTCGTTCAAGTCGACGAGCTTAAAAAATTGACAATAAAAATTTAATTTTTTCTTTTTTAAATATAAATCTTTCTAATTTACTTTCAATATTTGATATTTGTTGTCGAATAGCATTACTTGTTATTTCAATCATACGGTTTAAACGCCAAAAAAACACAACTTCATGACAATCAAGCTAAAAAATGATAAACACAAAGAAAATCTTATCAATAATTATAATTGACTTACGTACACCTTGATCCGAAAAACCTTTTTGATAATAATAAAAAAATCGACGACAATCAAGGCATGTGGATAAATTTCGTTTAAGAAAATGAATTTTATATACACGTTGCCATATATCAGTTATCTAATCATAGAAGAAAAAAACTATATATATATATATATATATGAAAATAAATAGAATATATTGATTTAACATACAAAATCATTAGATACATCAATTTTTTGTGTTTGAAGATTTTTCTTTACAGTTGTTAATTCATCATAGTCAAGAGTAGAACGTAACTAAAATATATTAAATTATATATTTACATTAAAAGTTTAGCTTGTTGAGTATCACTGATATACGGTTCATTTCTTCAAAACTATAAGAATCAGCTGTCTGATGGTGCTAGAATTCAGCGCTTCTTGGTTCTATTTTGATTAGACCACTCATTTAAAGAATGTTACTGTTTTTGAACGTTTCAAATAGATATTTTTCTAGCGAGGGAACTTCTTCAACTTATATCCATCGTTTGAGATTATGTTCAACCCAGAAGGAGGTCTCGATGAGACTAGCAAAAATCTAGAAGGGTTCGTCTTAGTGGATTATTGGTGTCGAGTTATGATCGATTTAAAAATTTGCCCTATAGACAGGTCTTATAACTCTTAGAATATCCAAAAACTTTAAGCCGAAAAGAATATTCCTGTATCAAGATATTGAATTTCTTAAAATAGCCCTTACTCATGGACACATCACAAAAATCGACTTCACTTAAAAATTCTATACCTTGACGAAAGAACTTTTTTTTCGGCTGAAACTTTCAGGATATTCAAACGTATGAGTCAGTATACGTATGTATGGAAGAAATTTTGAATCGAAAGTAGAGTCAATCAGTCATCACTTATGAGGAAAGTCCTTCAACTGCTCAACTGCTTTTAAGTTGATACTATGTAAATTATGTAGATCCTAATAAGCTACGAATATCTTGAAAAGAGTTTGTTCCCTTAGCTTATTGCGACAGAGATATCGCACTTTTATGATCCTATGGTCCCCGTCAGGAACGTTCAAAAAGTTGATTTTCAAATTTCGATTTGAAACTTTGTGCAGAGAAAGATCTTTATGAGAGTAGATTATTGTGAAAGTTTCACACCTTTTGATTTGCTTCTATTCTGAAATAAGAACATCGAAACCTACTGGTTTGTATGAGCGATGTAAAAGACACGCTATTACTATAGTTCTATATTAAAATAGGAACAGCAACAAGACTTAAAACATTCACCAAAAACTATTCTACGTAGTTAAGGTTTGTCTTCATGCAAAGTTTCAAATCTAAATTCGAAAATCAGTTTTTCTGAACGACGTCATTTATATAAAAATACCATAAAAATGCGGTATTTCAGTAGCAATAGCTAAAAGCGCAAACTCTTTTCAGGATATTTATAGCTCATTAGGATCTACATAATGCACATATTCTCGACTCAAATACGATTGAACAGTTGGAGGATTCCTCTCGACAACACTAAAGGTTCGTAAGGGCGAATCTTTTGAGGTTTTTGATTGTCTCAATAAGACCTCCTTGTGAACTGAATATGAACTCAGACAGCGAGCTTTGTTTGAAGTTGTTTGTTCTCTCGTAGAATATTCTTATGAATCATTGAATATGTTTATAACCAAAACATCAAATTTCAGTAAACACTTCGCTACAACAATATGAAGTCCACATATCTCGAGATTTTTTTCAGTATTTGATTGAGATCTACTTTCTGCTCATCATGCAAGGCTAATAATATCATAAAGTGTCTTTTTAGTCAAAATTCATGTTAAATGGAAAATCTTTGAGCTTTAAGTATGCCTCTTTCTATCTTGCCAGTATTGAAATATGTCTTTTTATTGTCTCGATTTACTTCTTCGACTATTTGTCTTTCAATTTCCCTATATATTCTCATCAAATAGAACCTACTCTATAACTATTTTTCGCTGTTTGATCTAATTGTTGTCTAGTAGTTAAAATCTTTTCTATTTCTTTAACACATTGTTGTCGATATTTTTCTTCCATAGTTAATTGTTGAAGACCAATAAATTTAAGCCAAGAACCTTGATTTTTATTTGAACTTAATTCTAATTCTTGATGTTCTAATTCTTTTCGAATAACATTTTCCATAAATTTTGCAGCTAATTCCCATTGTTGTTTATCTGTAACATTACGATCTTGTAATGCTTGTGTTTGAATAACTCTCTATATATTAGAAAAATAACGGCTTACAATTAAAAGAAAATAAATATTCATTTTATACAAGTGAATCAAGTGCTTTAACATCCCATTGATGTCTTGTACGACATTCTTGAACAACTTGCATTTTTAAATCATGTGTTATTGGATCATACGAACGACTTTTTTGTTCACGTTCAATTAAATTTTGAAATTCATCTAATAAAACATAATGACCAATATCAATACATTGACGTGGTAATACTTTTTCAGTCCATTGTTGTAATTTAACATCAACTGTTGTATTAAAATTACTATGAAAATAAACATATAGAATTTTGTATTCCTTGAAACTTTTGTTTGTTTTACCCGATAGATTCAGCTTGTGCAGCTGTTAAAAATACATCATCGAAAATAAAATTAGACATTGTTGTCCATAAATATTTTGATAAATTATCTTCCCTAAAAGAAGAAATTGTTTTTTTTTTTTGATTTTAGAAGAATATAGTTTTCTTGTTTTTTCTGTTACCATATTTGACTTGGTATTAAACTAAGATTAACAACTTCATCAAGTATTTCACCACGAGCTTTTTCAAATAATTCATCCTGATATAAAATTAAAATAAAGACTTCTAAAATAATAGAAAAGATTTTCTTTTGAATCACAAACTCGATCTTGTTCACGTAATTTTGGAAAACTATTTTTCCATTCTGTTTCTAAATTAAATTTTGTTGCTTTAAATGTATCTGTTTGTTGTTCAACACTTTCTTTAACCATTTTCCAAAAACAATCACTAACAGCAAAACTTAAATTACGTGTTGTTGTTTGATTAGTTTTAAAAATACCATCACTTTAAAAATAATTTAAAAGAAATAACGAAATTGAAAAAAAAAAACAAATTTTCTATACCGAAATAATTTTGAGTTACGAAAAAAATCTTCTTCATATTTTTGTATTGATTCTATTGGATCATCAGCATTTCCTATAAACATATTTTAATTTAGTAAGACTAAGTTAACTTTTTTTTCTGATGACTGTCGGAAATCTATTTAAATAGAGACTGACATTTGAGATTTTGTAGCTACTCCCTCCTCCTTCTCGTCATAGCAATGGAAATAGAGGTGTAAGCCGGTGAATTGATCGGCGACTGAAATTTTTCACTGAATTTTTTTAAAATTTTCTTAATTTTGAAATGAAGAGATAGTACAGAACTTATTGACAATAAACTGAACGGTAACATTTTTGAAAAACAGGTTTGGTACGTCGAATATTTTGAAAGATCAAACGATCATCGGATACGTTTCCTTAGCAATGCCATAGTCGTCATAAAAACTTGGATTTGATCAAGCTATAACTGTGAGAGATAATGAATATTAGGGTTTCCCAGCTTATGAAAATATCCAGTAGTGTGTGTTGAGACCTACTATAGATATAACGGATATGTATAACAGGCCTATTAGCCAGTTAAATCAATGTTTAGAATAATAATAATGTTAAGTTAAAAAGAACGGAGTACGATAAATAGACAAGGTAAGCAAAGAATAGAGCATCAGTAAAAAAAAAAAAACTTTAGTTTGAAATTTGTTTTTCTGACAGCCGATTATTCTTGGAAAACAACTACAGTCTACTAGATTCCTAAGTAGATATTGCAGACATTAGAATGGTCTACGAATTTTAGCCTAAAGGGATGTATTGTTTCTGAAATATTGAATGTTGAAAACGCTCGATTTTCTTACCTTTCCATTTGACATACGACTGTTGTTTTTGGATATTTAATATCTCAAGAAGAATACATTTCCTTAGGGTGAAATTTTCAGGATATTCTAAGGTCGACAAAACCTATCCATAAGCAAGTTTTCAGGTGAAAATTTTGTACTTCGATTTTTTCACAAGTATCTTGTCGAGGATTAATAAAATTCAGTAAAATTATAATAACTTGAGAAGAACAGTACATGAAGACAAGCTCTTATAGACTTCTACTAGTCTCGTCGGAATCTGCTTATTAGCAAAATATCAGTTCGATTGGTGAGTCACACTATTACGAGCTTTTTTAAATTAATTATTACAACAAACTAGTTTTTAAACCACTCGAAAAAAAAAATGAATATATTTGTTGATTTTTATAAAAATCTAACCTTTGCCAGTGACAACTGCAAAATAGCCTAAAGCTTTCATTGGAAATAATTTTCCTTCGAGAATTCTTTTGATCTAAACAAAATAATAATAATAAAAAAATTCTATTTTGAAATAATCTCAAATATGTTTTAACTAACTCGATCACTATCATGTAGATTTGCTTCAGCCATATCAACTTTTGTTAGAACAAATATAGTTCGTTTACCATGTGGATCCATTTTTGAAACAAGTTCTGTTACATTACTACGTTCAGCATCAACACTTCCATCTTAAAATAAATATGTTATCTTTATTTGTTGAAATTTCAAAAAAAATCAATCATTTACCTTGAATACAAAGAATAATAGCATTCGGATTTGACATATAACTATTTGCTAGACGAGTAATAGAGCTTTTTGTATCCGATGCCATACCAATTGTTTCCGTCTGTAGTTAAAAATTTCATGTAAGTACAATACAGAGTATTTTATAAGTTTTGGTCTCAAATGATAGAGTATTGAATGAAATTTTATGTTGTAATAATAAAAATATAAACATGAGGATATGTTGATAGATTTTTCGATATTTGATCAATATTGTATTAAAAACAAAGAAAGCACTTTATTGTATTAATATGGATATTTATCTAGCTGCACAAAAATCCCATTTAATTATCATCTTTTTGTTTTTCATCTCTTTGTTAAGTCTCTTAAAGAATTTCAACATTCATTGCACGTTATTTTTTTTTTCCCCATATTTTATTCAATGTATGTTTTAACTGTTGAAAATTTGTTCTCATCATACTTTTTTCTTTTATGCTTTTCATAATTTTTCAATTAGCAACACTTTTGCAGTACAATTTGATCATTGGATAATTCATCAATAGCTTGTAATATAACCTTTTTTCTATATATTGAATCTGCTTTGTCTTGCAAATATAATATTTTTTCGAAATATCCTTTGAATAAATCCTGTGTGCAACTTCCTATTGATATAAATTTCTTTTTTTTTTGTTTTCTTTTCTGTTGTTTATGTAACCTGGAAATATATTCAGTATTTTATTTAGTGACGTTATCAAGACAGAGTAGGAAAATCGAGCCGCAACGATCGAAACCAAATCAGCTAAACTCTATCGCAAGTTCCATCATCACATTCTCATGTTTGCATTTTTTATTATTTGTAAGAGAAGATATTATTCAATTATTGATGAACGGAGTCAATCGTTTTCAGTCCTTGTCAGACAAAAAAATTTTTGGTTCTGATTTTGCACTTAATAATACATGTACTAGCGAAAACTGCGATATCAATGAACTCAAGACAGCTTGCACAACCTGTAATGTCCTTTCTCTTGAAGACTCATTCCTTTTTTTTTTAAATTCACTAACACTTCGTCTATTTCGCACGTTTATATGTTCGATAACTCTGTTGTTTACGAAAAAAAAAGAACTAATTTGTACTATAAAAATTGTGGCAGCAAATATTGAAATGATTGTTGCTCAACATAAACTTTTAGAACATGTGAGTCATGAGAATATGACATGTGACGCGAATCTTACAGGGCAATACAGGATATTGGTTCTAATAAGGTATTGATTTCGGTCCTACAGGGGCTATCTTATCCATATTTACATTCAATAGTATCTCATTTCAAAGACTGACATGAATATTCAAAACTCATCTAGATACATTCCATTGGAGATTAGTCCTAATGTCTGCTTATAAACTAATTGTATCGAACTTTGTAAGACTCATATGAAGTGCTTTGTACATGAATAACTTACACTAATAATTCCAGGTAAATCAACTAAAACCATCCGTTGAAGACCAGGACCTTTGACTGATAATGAAATAACCTAAAATATCCAATAGAATATTTTATATTGAAAATTAGTTTGACTAACTTCACTACTAATTGTTTGACCTTCTCTGACTGATGCACGCATTCGAAGTTCAATTTCTTTTCGAAGAGCAGCTAACTAAAAATGTAAAAAGAAAATTTCTTTTTTGTTTTATATTGAAATTAGAATAATTTCATTTGTATATACATACATCTGTTTCTTTTGTTAAATCATATTCTTTAGGACTATCTTTAAAGTTTGCAACATGATAAGGACCTTCACTTAAAGTAACTTTTACTGGACTACGTGTCATCATTTCACCAGCACCTCTATAAAAGTGAGAAACAAATAAATATTATAAACAAGAAAGAAGAGAAAATATGAATAAACCGAGGAAATATTCGTGCTTGTGTTATCATTTCAAGTACACTTGTTTTACCCGAACTTTGATCACCAATAACAATAACCTAGATAGAAAATTGTTAATATACTGTGAAACCATTCATCAAAATCATAAGAGTAGAAAGTAAACACTAGTAATGTCACTCATAGCCAGGATGTGCATGTCTTATGTCCTATTTATTTATATGAATATCTTGCTGATGTTAGGTATTTTTTTTTTGAAAGTTTAGTATATGAAAGTACAAAGGAGAATAGTTTTATTTATGAATTAACCGTAGAAAGAATTAAATTGTTATTATATAAGAGTAGAAAAACTTGAATGTGATGCTGATGTTGTTTCGATGTTGAGTTTGAAAAATTTTCTTCTCGTGACTTGAACTCCATTGACATTGGGAACAAGTTTCGGAACTGTATATAGGTCCTATGAAGTCTTCTGAAACTTTTAACATACGCTTAGTTTATAAAAAAAAGATGGACAAGAAGATCAATGGTACTGTCTTGTTTCCAAAGATCTTATTTTAAATCAAATGGCAACATTTATTGCTTTCTCAATCTGCCAGAAAAAATAATCCGAACTCGATGAAACTTAAAAATGTATCATAATTATTAACTAAATGCTGTTTTTTTATTGAGATTATTTATTTCTACAGTGAAACGAGTTTTCTCAAAAACAAAATTCTTTTGTTATCTTCATATAATATGTATTGCTCTTTACATCTTACAGAAATTTTATATCATTTGTAAGGTTTCTCAAAGTGTCCATCATTAAAGTCTTGAAATCTGCCTATTTCTCTCTCGAATGAACTCTAATTTATCTCTTTAGGTTAGAAGGGCAACAAACTCAAAACCTTGGGATTTGGTAAGATAAGTTGAAAGCAACTATGGTTTATTTCATTAGACGTGCAGCACAACCATAAAACGATTCCAGTATTTGAGACTAAATGCTTAGTATTTTCAAACGTCACAGAACTTGCTGCTATTTTTAAGTAATAGTCATGAACGACTTAGAACTATCAATCACTGAGTTTTTTACTTAGCATTCTGCTAACAGGACGTTAAAGTTTTATACTCAGAAAAACTGGAATATCAAATAGATTTTATTCGAACTTCTTATTTTTTTTAATCGCATTCAAAATCTAAGTACGAAAATATTTACTCGAGGCAAATGATCTTGAATGTTATAATTTGTATCATACTCATTTAATTCATCCAAAACATCACTATACATATCAATAAGTGATCTCTAGAAGAAAAAAAACAAGGAGATGTTGAAGTTTTAATTGAATTCTAAACAAAAAATAAATAAACTTTTATTTTTCGTTGTTTTTGTCCATTAAGATTTCTTTCTTGTCTTAATAAAATTTGTTTTTTCATTGTTTTTATTTCTTTCTCTAATCGATCAATTTCACGTTGATATTTTATTTGTATAGTCATCATTTCTTGATGAATTTTTTCTTGATATTCATGATCTTCTAATTGAGATACCTATTTTTAATGAAATTTTTTCACAATACAAAGAAAAAAAAATAGAAAAACAAACTTTGTTTAATCTTTGTATTTCATCACTTTTTAATTGAACATTTTTATACGAATTTGCCCAAGTAAAAAGACCATCTAAATCTCATAATAATTCATTTTAATCAAATAAATAATAGATTTTTACCTGATGTTTGTTGTTGTCCTTCATTAATATTCTTATCATCGGATGTATTACTTGAAGATATTGTTGAAAGATAATTTGCAAATTTGTCTTGTAATTGTTTGACATGATCTTGTAAATTAGTCTATATGAATAATAGAAAAAACAGTATTTTATTTTTTTCAAACATTGATTTTCTTACAGTATCCGGTAATGAAACAGAATTAGCTAAATCAGATAAACGTTTTGTTAAAGCATCAACACTTTCTTCTGGCATATATTCTTTCATCCATGATAAATCTGGTAAAGCCTCTTTGATATCTTTATATTTCTATAAAAATAATATTTTTCAATTATTTGAAAAAAAGAAGTCTTTTCGTTTTGTTTACTTTATGAGCTGCATAACCACCACCAACAGCTGTACCAAAGATTAAATAACGAAGACGAAGTAGACGAAGTAAATATGCCATTTAAGAATTAGCTAGAAAAAGCACAACTTTGAAAAAACCAGATCAGAAAACGATACGCATTGCATTAGAAAAGAAAATAATTGAATCATTCATTTTCACCAATGAAATTATTAAAAGAATATTATATGTCTTCTTAGGACGACATCTATTTTTCGTATTATGTACACTAAATCTTTTAGTTTAATTTTGAACTATATTAAGGAATTAAAGAAATAGACGAATGACTTTCAGGATTGAATCAATGAAAAATACCTGCAACATAACGACTAGTAAGAGTATATCAATATACTTATAGGTTTCATATCTCTATATTTCATAAATAACATGTAGGACAAGTTTCAGATGATCGTATGTAGATACTTCTATGTTAAGTTTTTGAAGTACTGTGATTTAGAAATACTCATATGAAGTGTAAGCACACAAACAAATTACGATCATTGAGCTTTTATTAAATATATAATCAATCAATTCTACTTGATTTATATATAGTGTGAAACTACGGATATAAAACATTAGAGATACTATCAATATCAAATAAGAACTTATATGCATGCATATGATAGTATAAATAGGAACAACAAAATTCATGCGTTGTCCCTATGAATTCGTTTCTACTTCATTCATATCATTTAAAATAGGGAAATTATAGATTGCTGCAACTTATGCCATGACTAGAGATGTGCGAAACAAAGTTTTTTGAGTCCTGATTCTGATTTCGGTCTACAGAAAACTATTCCAGAATTTATTCGTATCAAATATGAAATAATTCTTCAATACTCGTCTGTCTGATGCATTTGGTCGACGGCTAGAACTTTGTTGGATAATCTCTTTTGATTTATATTCTGATTCATATGACTTATAAGATAATTTGCTTAAAACCATAGAAGATTTTACTATAAACTTGAGCTCAGGTCTTAGCAATTTCTCTTTCTCGTGGCCCCAATCCTAGCAAATTTTTTCTCATGATCTCGGTCCCGTTCATCTCTACTCAGGACTTTTCTCTCAATGTATTCATTACGTCATTAATATTGAACTGCGTAAAGCCATTGCCAAAGAATAGATGGAGATTAGGACAGTTTTGACTCTGTGAATTCACTTGAACATTCTCGTTATCAAATATGACTGATTGAAAGTCATATCTTGTAAAACTCATGTTGTTTACCCGGAAAAAGAAATAAAAATATGATTTTTGCTAAATGTTTTTGGTGCTAATAAAAATATTTACAATAGAACTTCTTGTGATCGGACTACAATTAATTCTTTTATAGTTCTATTTATTGTGGCAATGGACACTTGTGAATAACTTGAACGTTATAAATAATCAATAAACATCGGAATAATATTTCCAATGTATAATTATTGCCAAAAGATGTTTGGAGTTAGTGTTTTGAATTTTTGTATATTTTTCTATACTTGCAAATGAAAACTATTTGAAATATATCGATTAAAAACGGTTAATATTCTTTATCTCCTTATAATTCTTTTTATTTGTGAATACGTTTTATGAATTTTTCCATCAAGTTCCATTTTTTAATAACAGGTATAATAACAAGATTCATAATGTTCAGAAAAAAGCCACCGTTTGTATGAAAATATATTCTATTGATTATATTTAGTACATGATCTTAGGTCTTCTATTATGTGCAGGCATACAAATTTTTCTAGAAGGGTCTTCTACTGTGTTTTGTTTATTTACGTAATTTTTAATTGAAAGGGTTTTTCAAATAATTAACGAGATTCTGAAGGTTTGCGAAGAGAGTTTTAGGTTTTTCAAAATCTATAAATCAGATTGATTGCAGTCTTTTAAGATTGCACAGTTCAAAAACCTGAAAATTAACTATCTTTTGACGTAATTATACTAATTAAAATTCCGAGTTCGAAAGAAGAGAAGGTTTTTTTTATTGCGAAAAGGGGATTAGGGCATTTTCTATATTATTGCCCTCAGGTTTCTGCGTGGAATGGGACAGAGCGAAGAAATTCGCCCCATAATATAGAATAATTCATAAAGATTTTCATCTCAATTCTTTTTGTTATGATAAATGTGTTTTCTATAAAGATGATATCTAATATTATAAAATTATCTAATGCCTGCAAATAGATTGACGTAATAAACTCCCGAAATTAATATCTTTAACAAATGAGGACTATTAATTTCAGCTTCATTATGTTTATAATAGAGTGAATTTCTATCTACTTAATATTATGATTACTTCGATTATTTTTAAATAAAATGATTTATTTTGGTTTATCATATTATTCATGAAAAGATTTTTACAGGAAAATTTGAAATACTAGAAGAAAATTAGTTTGAAAAGACTTGTCAATTTTCAACGTATTTTTTTAATAATTTAATTTTTTTGTGCACTAATAACGAAAGGTTGACACCCGCTAGCATGGAAAATGAATATTTATCTTTTAATAAATGATTAAATGTTCCTGAAAAGTTCATTAAGGTATGTTTTTTTCCTTGACAGCACCTTGTTAATTCAAAAAATAGAGCATTTTAAGGAAACAATTGTGATCATTCTTGTCATATGTTTGATTTTCAAAATATTAGACAAAACTACTTTCGACAAAAAAAAAATAAGTCAAGCTATTTTATTGTATAACTTAGGTTGTGTGGTTTATTGATACATAGTTGAACGCCAATAAAAAAAAGAAAAGATAAGATTTATAAATACTGATGTCACTGATAAAACAAGAAAAAGAAAAAAACCATAAGTTACATTTTAACTATTTCTACGATAACGTTTGTATCTATTAGATTCAGTTTCATTTTATGTGATAAAAAAAGTAGGTTTGTTTTGTTAAGAAAAAACAATGTCATCTTCTCTTTCTATTCCATCAATTGATGAAATTTATGAAGCTCAAACACGTTTACGTGGTATTGTAATTCGTACTCCACTTCTTAAATTAAATTATGAAATTCCTGGAATTGAAATCTATTTAAAATGTGAACAATTTCAACCAATATCATCATTTAAAATACGTGGTGCTACAAATGCTGTTAAAATTTTACCTGTAGAAGAAAAACAAAATGGCATAGTGACAGCATCAGCTGGTAATATGGCACAAGGTTTAGCTTGGATAGCTCGAAGAGAAAATATAAAATGTCAAGTTTTAGTACCTGATACAGCAAATGAAGTTAAATTAAAAGCAATTGAAAGATTAGGAGGAAAAATTACTAAATGTAGTTTTGAACAATGGTGGCAAGTTATTGTTACCCATCAATGTTCAATGTTAGAGGGACATTTTATTCATCCAGTATGTGATCGAAATGTTATGGCAGGCAATGGTACTATTGCATTGGAGATATTAGATGACTTACCTGATTGTGATGCAATACTAGGTAAATCGATGTAGACAATGAAAATGTGAGAGACTATGTACATAGTTGCTGTTACTAATAGCAGGAAGATTGTTTTATTTTATCTATTTTGGGACAGATTTCTTCAGCATCTCTTAAGTTAATACCAGAAACCTAATAAGTGAGTACTACATATATTACAATAAAACGTTATTTATATACAGTCTGTAGTACGGAAGAAGTGTTATTAAGGTGTCTGTTGTGGTGAGAGCCTGTCGAGTTCAAAATTTTCATGTATAGATCCAACCAAGTTTAGGATCAACTTGACGAATCCTAATTGCGATCCGTGGCAGATTCAGATTTTTATCCCTATACTTGAACAATCCTTTAAACTTTTATGTTATTCTTTTAATAATTACCTGCTTCTGATTTTTTTAAAAATATGTTTAGTACCTTATGGTGGTGGTGCTTTAATTACTGGCATTGCGTCGGTAGCAAAACATTTGAAACCATCAATTGATGTTTTAGCTTGTGAAATCGAAACAGCTGCTCCTCTTGCTGCTGCATTTAAGAATAATCAAATAACTGAAATTTCAATGCAGAAATCTTGGGTTGATGGAATAGGTAGTTCAAGTGTATTAAATGAAATGTGGCCATTAGTTAAAACTTGTGTTGATAATTCTATTGTTGTTACATTAAAAGAAACAGCTAAAGCATTAAAAATATTAATAGAAAGAAATCATATTATATGTGAAGGTGCTAGTGCAACAACCTTGGCTGCTGGATTATGGCATTATATGAATTATATAGAAAATGGTCAAGCTGGATTAAGAAGAAAAGATCGTAATGAACCATTAAAAGTTGTAGCAGTTTTAAGTGGAGCTGGAATTGATAATGAAACAATTATGAAATGTTTAAGAGAAACTTAATAAATGCATCTTTTGATTTTATTTTAAATTTAAAAAAAGTTCATTTTATATTTTGAGCTTTTGAAATTTTCAATTATCACTTGTTTTCAAAAAAAAAATTGATATCATAGTTTTTAATGAACAAGAATATTTTACGACATAAAACAACTTTCTTCTTTTTATGAAACAGATTTTAATATTAATAAAAAGATAACTTTCAAGTTCAATGATTACGAATAATTATCGTAGAATAAACAATATTTTGAATTTTAATTGACAGCATTTGAAATTATCAAAAACCTATTATATAACTGTCAAACTTCATTTATTTGTATTTAATATAATGTGCTATCAGTACATAATAAATGACACTTGTGATGAAGACTCAGTCTTGTCAATGACAAAAAATAGATAGTATATCTGGTTATGATGAATAGCTAGCGTAATCTGATAATAAAATCAACAAGCGACAACAACAACTAGTTGATTGTATAGATCATAACTATTCAAAGTCCTAGACAATAATAAAATCTAGTATTCAACATCTAATCAATTTCTTCATATAAGTTTTTTTTTTAGAATTACAATATTCAAGTTTTTAGTAATTTATTCGTCTCCTATGCGTAATATCAATTGAAATGTTGTGTTTCATTCCTGGACAAATACCTATTCAATATTTATCAAGCGAAGAAAAAATAAAATTGTCAAACTCTATTATTAATCACTATAATGATCTAATACGTCTCAAATGTCCCTTATGCGCTTCAAACTAATTGATCAGCAAGGCTTGTTTAAAATAGGCAATAATAAACTATAGAGAAAAAGATGAGTAAGTGGGCTGTCTTTATCCATGCAGTTGGTATTATGCATACTACAGTACATATATATTATTAACTTAATGTGGTGCTTCAAATTGACTTTCTCCTATTTCGTTCTTTATACATATTTATTACTACATTTATGTATACATAAATATGATATATGCTTCAATGCTTGTTATCTTCTTATTTCTTAAATGATCTAGTATAAATTTAACACACACATGTTATTATCTAGTTTATCATCATTTCTGTTTTTTTTTTCTTTATATAAGTGTCAATAATGATTTACTTATTTCTATATTAGATAAAGGCCATTCACCCATCACATATTATTGTAATAATTATTTTTTACTTTGTGATCATCATTATTTCAATATGCCTCGTTCAAGAAAACAATCAGTAGTATCACGTATTCTTCATTTGTAAGTGAATTCAAAAGAATATATTTCTTTTTTATTAAATATGTGTGAATATAGATGTAAAGAATATTCAATATACAAATTGAACGATTTGATTTTTGAAGATTAGATCTAATTTATTTTTGCAGTTATATTGTTAGAAGTATGAAAACATCTTGTATAAAAGAATTTATGTTTCGGAATAAAGAATATGATGATATCAGTTTACATTAGATGAAAACTTCTTTTTTTTTTTTGTATTTGTAAATATTTTTATTGACACTGTAAACTAATTTTTTTCTTATTTGGAAAAGAAACATAATAATAAAAAGCATCTTTGTTCTTTGATACATCAACTTTTTATGTGTACTAAAAGCAACAAAAAGGTTTGTTGTAGAAACGCACCTATAAAAAGCATCTAAATTAAGTGAAGACAATACAAGTAACGAAAATTGAAACCAAATGATACTTCTTTTCGTTTCGTTTCTTTTTCTCATTTATTCATTCCTTTTCTATTGTGTAAAGCTGTGTAAATGAGTTTCTTTGTGAGTCATTATGAAAAAAACAAAAATGTCTATTATACGTTTAAAAACATCAGTAAAAGCCATATACGAACAGCGGTTAGTATAGATAAAATCTTAACTTATATACATAACATCATGGACTACGAGAATACCAAAAGGAATAAAACAAATCAATCTATAACGCGAATAAGATAATATTTGGTTAGGACAGTACTTCAAATTTTAAGAAGAGAACAAAAAAGGGAATTATTCATACTTTTGTTCTCTCTTAGTGTTTGATATCACTATGAGAACAGCAATATTTTTTTTTTGTCATCAAATATCATTCATCACGCCCTACAGCTGATCCATACATCATTTATTTATCTTACAAACAACAAAATACGTCCACATTGGACTCAACAATATACTATTGAATTAATCAATATGCCTCGATGTTCGTTACGACAACGGCGGTATATATTTCTTGTTTCTTATTGTCTTCATTTATCAAATTATAGTTATCAACATCAATTTTCATCGAGAATTCTACGATTTGATAAATATATATACATATAAATTATCTAGTTGTTTTTTTCTTGTATACAAGAAAAGGTATTAAGTTTAAACGATATATGTTGTTTTATAACATTCACCTGAAGGATGTAATTAACTGTTAAAAATACTTTTCATGCGTAATACTGATTGACATATTCGATTAGAATGACGTAGACTTTCCGATGCCTATTTAGATGTGTTATCTCTTTCCTTTTTTTTTTCAAAAAAGAAAACTAGAATAATTATATAAGAAATGATCTGATTTTTCCAGGATTTTAGCGATGAATTTATCAAATGTGATAACTATGACTTAATATTATTAATTAATTAGCAGAGTTATATTATTCATTATCAGCACAATGAAAAAAAAAAACATGTTTTTTTTTAAATTTATAATCTCGAAAATAATTTAATCTGTTTATTAATTTACTCAAAAATAAATTTTATTTTATTCTCTATTAGTTACATACCATATTTTTAAATTTTATATAGGTTCTTTCTTAAGTATTAGTTGAGAGTATAAGTAAATAACATTTATAAGTAGATTATTTTTCGATTGATTGATCTAACTTGACACATCTGTTTATTTTCTAATTATTTAATGAAAAAGAAAAACATTGAATAAGTTATTGTCGATAGATTTAGTTCAAGTACAATATTTACGAATAACTAAAAGAATTCTCTCTTTTTGTGTCATTCAATAGAAGGACATTGACTCTTTTGCTACGCGTATTGTAATTATTGAGTTAATCATAAATAACTATCAAGAGAAAAGAGAAACAATCTTTGTGTTATTCTACGAATGTATCTACATGATAAGGAAAAGACTACCAGTATATCATTTAGACATTCATTGAGTAGATTTTTTTATTTCTATTAAGTGACAAACATAGTATAATAAGAAGTTGAAAAAGAACATGCAAGTATTATCGATGTAAATAAACAGTTGATTTAGTAACTAAGATATATGTATAATAAAACCAACAAATTTGAAATGTGTTTTTTATGCAAATATCTTGATATATAATATCTGTGTTTTTTTTTCTTTCCATTTAACATTGATATTACTAAGTTTAATATGAATTTTAGTTTTTTATTATACACATTTTACCATTTGATGTTGTGTCAGCATAAGGATAATACGTTTTAAGAATTTTATCTATTTATATTTGATATATACGTGATAATAAAATGAAGTCAAAATATCATTTCTTTAGGCATTCAATTCATCCATCAAACGATGATGATACCACTACTACTAATAATAATAGATTGACAAATCAAAATATTGAATCAACTGAACCACAGATTACAATAAGAAATAATCCATTAACAGCAACGGTTTCAGCACCTGGTATGTCTTCAAATTCATCACCAACACAATCCATGTCATTGGCCAATAATGAAAACAATCAAAATCGCCGTAATGTCACAACAAGTCAACTAATAACAAATGTAACAACAGTAAATCCAAGTGTACCACCTACTAAAAATCCTCATTCAATATTTGCAAAATTAACTGATGCAAAAAAATCTTTGTTTGGAAAATCAAATGTACCTGATCCTTTTTTTTCATCGGCAATGGAAAATAAAGCATTATTAGGTTATATTTTATCTGAACCACATCCAACTCTAGATGCAATACAAGACTTTGAACGTCAAGGAGCACAATTAAATGCTATAACAGATGAAGGAAATACAGCTTTACATTTACTTGCACGAACCGAAATACACGCAGAAAAATGTATTAATATTGTGGATTATTTAACAAGAAAAGGTTGTGACCCAAATAGACAGAATGATTATGGATGGACAGCAGGTATAAGTTTTTCTTTTAATTAAAGAATTTTTAATGAAAGAAATTACTTTCATTGGGATTTATTCTCATTTGATTATAAATTTCAATAGAAGAATTTATTTGAGATTACTAAGAATCGGGTCTCTTTCTTTCCTCAGTTTATTCTCTAAAAGCGTACTTATGAAAAAACAATAGGATTGAAAATCTATGACTGATCGTGAAGTCTTATTGCTTCATATTCCTTTTGCCTACTTGATTCTATTAGGTTTCGTATTTTCTGCGTAATATATAGGATGACCGATGCATAACTAAACGATAAAAAAAACTCTACTGTCTCCAGCCTGTTTAAGTCAACCAAACTATATTTTTCTAAGTAATAGAGAATTCGCCAAATTTTTGTTTCACAAGAAAATCTTCAATAAATACTATGTAAAACTAATATTATTGACCTCAATAAAGAAATATATTGGTGGCCAAAAGAATAACTTTGTAATCACAGTCGTTGTTAAGGCTTCATGTGTGAGATTTTTACCATCGATACTACCTGAGAAATGTAGATCAACAAAAAAAAGCCCAGATTCGATCACTTTAATTGAAGTAGAGTTGTGATGCATGATAGTTCTTCTTACTATGAACTCTCTAATTCAAAAATGATAGAAATTTACAACCTGGTGAACCAATCATTGTGTAAAATATGTGCAGCTTTTAAACGCTTAAATAAAGCTCAATGGCATTTATCGGATAGATAGCCGAATTAAAAGACCATAGTGAGTCATTATTTGAAAACAATGAAAAACAATATTTTTAATTTAGTAAGCGTCTCTATTCGAAATAAGTCTACTTATTCTATCTAATATTTTTTGTACTTCTGAACAAGTTTTATTAAATGGGTATATGCGGATATATCATATCCTCCTTAGAAGTAAAAATCATGCCAAACTTG